ATACAAAAGACTCACTTCAAAACTAAAGACATACAGAGATTAAAAGTGAAGGGATGGAAAAAGATGTTTCATGCAAACAACAGGGAGAAATAAACAGGGGTTGCAGTACTTGTATCAGACAAAATAGACTTCAAAACAAAGAAAGCAACAATAGACAAAGAAGGACATTGCACAATGATAAAGGGCTCAGTCCAACAAGAGGAGATAAACATTATAAATATCTATGTACCCAACATATGAGCACCTAAATATGCAAAACAAATACTAACAGAATTAAAGGGAGAAACAGAATGTAATGGATTCATTTTAGGAGACTTCAACACACCACTCACTCCAAAGCACACATCAACCAGACAGAAAATAAATAAGGAGACAGAGGAACTGAACAACGTATTAGAACAGATGGACCTAATGGACATCTACAGAACACTCCATCCAAAAACAACAGGATACACATTCTTCCAAGTGCACATTGGACATTTTCAAGAATAGATCATATCCTAGGCCCCAAAAAGAGCCTCAGGATATTCATAAGCATTGAAATTGTACAAATCGGCTCTCAGACCACAATGGTATGAAACTATAAATTAATTATGCAAAGAAAACAAAAAAGCCCAAAAACACATGGAGGTTTAACAACATGCTCTTACATAATCAACAGATCAATGAACAAAAACAGAGATCAAGCAATATTTAGAGAAATATGAAAACAATAACTCAACACCATAAAATCTGTGAGACACAGCGAAAGCCATGCTAAGAGTGAAGTATATTGCAATACAGGCTTATCTGAGTAGAGAATAACAATCCCAAATGAAGAGTATAAACTAAGATTTAATGAAACTAGAAAAAGAACAAAGGAGGCCCAAGTCGGTAGAAGGAGGGGCATAAAAAAGATCACAGCAGAAATAAAAGAAATCGAGAAGATAAAAACAATAGAAAGAATCAATGAAAGCAGGAGCTGGTTCTTTTAGAAAATTAACAAAATAGGTAAAACCCCAGCCAGAATCATCAAGAAAAAACAGTCTACACACATAAACAGATTCAGATATGAGAAGGGAATAATTACTACAGACAAAACAGAAATACAAAGAATTTACTAGAGAATACTATGAAAAAGTACATGATAACAAACTGGATAATTAGAAAAAACAGACAAGTTTCTAGAAAAATACAACCTTCCAAGGCTGACCAAGGAAGAGAGAAAAAAATCTGAACAGCCCAATTACCAGGAATGAAATTGAATCTATAATTGAAAAACTACCTAAGAACAAAATCTCTGGACCAGATGGCTTCACCACCGAATTTTACCAAACATTTAGTGAAGACCTAATAACCATCCTCCTTAACATTTTCCAAAAAGTAGAAGAGGGAATACATCAAAACTCATTCTATTATACCAGCATCACTCAAATACTAAAATCAGACAAAGACACCACAAAAAAAGAAAATTACAGACCAATATCCATGATGAACATAGATGCAAAAATCTTCAACAAAATATCAGAAAACTGAATTCAAAAATACATAAAAAATACAACCCATCATGATCCAATGGGATTTATTCAAGGAATGCAGGGATGGTACAATATTCAAAAATCCATCAACATCATACACAAGATTAACAAAAAGGACAAAAATCACATGATCATTTCCATGGATGCTGAAAAGCATTTGACAAAATTCAACTTCCATTCATGATAAAAACTCTAAACATATTGGGTATACAGGGCAAGCACCTAAACATAATAAAGGCCATATATGACAAACCCACAGCCAACATCATGCTTAACAGCAAAAAGCTAAAAGCTTTTCCTTTAAGATGGGAAGTAGACAAGGATACCAACACTCCCCAGTTTATTCAACATAGTACTGGAGGTCCTATCCACGGCAATCAGAAAACACAAAGAAATAAAAGGCATCCAGAGTGGTAAAGAAGAAGTTAAACTGTAACTGTTTACAGATGACATGATATTGTACATAAAAAAACTAAAGAATCCACCCCAAAACTACCAGAATGACTGAAATGAAAAAAGTTGCAGGATATAAAATAAATATGCAGAAATCTGTTGCATTCCTATATACTAATGATGAACTAGCAGAAAGAGAAATCATATAAATAATTCCATTTACAATTGCATCAAAAAGAATAAAATACCTGGGAATAAACGTATCCAAGGAGGTGGAAGACCTATATCATGAAAACAACAGGACAGTCATGAGGGAAATTAAAGAAAACACCAATAAATGGAAATACATTCCATGCTCATGGATAGGAAGAATTAAGATTGTGAAAATGGCTATCCTGCCTAAAGCAATCTACAGATTCAATGCAATCACTATCAAAATACTGACAGCATTCTTCAAGGAACTGGAACAAATAGTTCTAAAATTCATATGGAACCACAAAAGATCCCAAATAGCTAAGGCAATCCTGAGAAGGAAGAATAAAGCTGGGGGAATTATGCTCCCTAACTTTGAGCTCTACTGCAAAGGCACAGTATCAAGACAGTTTGGTTCTGCCACAAGAACAGAACCACAGATCAATGGAACAGAACAGAGAATCCAGAAATAAACTCACACACATATATGGCCAATTAATATATGACACAAAAGCCATGGATATACAATGGGGAAATGACAGCCTCTTCAACACCTTTTGTTGGAAAAACTGGACAGCTACATGTAAGAGAGTGAAACTGGATCATTGTCTAACCCCATACACAAAAGTAAACTTGAAAAGGATCAAAGACCTGAATGTAAGTCATGAAATTATAAAACTCTTAGAAGAAAACATAGGCAAAAATCTCTTGAATATAAACATGAGCAACTTTTTCCTTAACACATCTCCTCATGCAAGGGATACAAAAGCAAAAATGAACAAATGAGACTACATCAAACTAAAAAGCTTCTGTACAGAAAAGGACACCATCAATAGAATAAAAAGGCATCCTACAGTATGGGAGAATATATTTGTAAATGACATATCCAACAAGGGGTTAACATCCAAAATATATAAAGAAATATGCCTCAACACCCAAAAAGCAAATAGCCCAATAAAAAAGTGGGCACAGGATCTGAACAGACACTTCTTCAATGAAGAAAATCAGATGGCCAACAGGCACATGAAAAGGTGCTCCATATCGCTAATTATCAGGGAAATGCAAATTAAAACCACAATGAAATATCACCTCCCACTGGTTTAGGATGGCCAACATCCAAAAGACAAGGAACAACAAGTGCTAGTGAGGATGCAGAGAAAGTTGGACCCCCCTACACTACTGGTGGGAATGTAAATTAGTTCAACCATTGGGGAAAGCAGTATGGAGGTTCCTCAAAAAACTAAAAAGAGAAATACATTTGACCCAGTAATTCTATTCCTAGGAATTTACCCAAAGAAAACAAGATTCCAGATTCAAAACGACATATGTACCCCTATGTTTACTGCAGCACTATTTACAATAGTCAAGATATGGAAGTAACCTAAGTGTCCACCAGTAGATGAATGAATAAAGTTGTGGTATATATACATAATGGAATATTATTCATCCATAAGAAGAAAACAAATCCGACCATTTGCAACAACATAGATCGAACTACAGGGTATTATGCTCAGTGAAATAAGTCAGGCAGACAAAGACAAGTACCAAATGATTTCCCTCATTTGTGGAGTATAACAGTGAAGCAAAACTGAAGGAACAAAACAGTAGCGGACTCACAGACTCCAGGAAGGGACTAGCGGTTACTAAAGAGGAGGGTTAGGGGAGGGTGGTTTGGGAGGTAGGGAGAAGGATTGAGGGGTATTATAATTGGCACATGGTGTGGGAGGGAATCACAGGGTAGACAGTATAGCACAGAGGAGACAAGTAGTGACTCTGTGGCATCTTACTATGCTGATGGACAGTGACTGCAATGGTGTGTGGGGTGGGACTTGCTAATATGGGTGAATGTAGTAACCACAATGCTTTTCATGTGAAACATTCATAAGAGTGGATATCAATGATACCTTAATATAAATAAATAATAATAATAATAAACAGAGCAAGTTATGTCATGTTCTATAAAATGACTAGTCTTTAATCTTCAAAACTGTCAAGGTCATGAAAGTCAAGGCAAGAGTGAGTAAGTGTTCCAGATTGAGAGAGACTATAGAATAGGTACAATCCTAGATTGAAGCCATTTTCTAATAAAGGACAGTATTGGGAAACTTGAATACGGTCTCTGTGCAAATGCTGTAAAGGATTTCTTTGTATTATTCTTCTAAATATGAAATTCCTTTAAAAAACTTTAAAGCATAGAAGAGTACTTAGCATATAACTGACAATATATAAATATTTACTGAATTAAGTTCTTCATTATAACGCATAATTTGGGGGGAAAGTATGACCAGTCTCACAAATAGGTACAATTTATAGAGCCCTAGAAACATTCTCCCCAACATCCAAATCTATCATTATTATCAATTCCCTCTGTGATAGTAATGACTAAAGTAGGCATATACACTGAAATTAGAAGAGAAAGAATGGAAAAGGGAAATAAAGTAGAAAAATATAAAAGTATCAACTACAAAATTTTGATGAGATCCAGTCTAGGAAGCAGGCTTCCTTTACCCTATCAAAACTCTCACACTTCCAGATCCTAATATAGAAAAATTCTATGGCAGTGATATGATTAAATGCTGTCAACCTTGTCAGTAGGGGAATACAGTTGTTTTCCCTCCCTTTTGCCATAGAGCATGAAACATGGAGGAAATGCTATCAAAATTGTTTAATAATAAAAGAGAAAACAAAGTAATTTTACAAAATAACACATATCACCTTTTTAAAACACCCTTTCTAGGAAAGAACAAAGGAAGCAAAATATTTCAAAAATCAGCTAAGTAAATGTAACTGACCTCAAATATAATTTCTAAAGGATTTTATGAAGTAGTTCTGATTCTTCCTAGAACTTGATGTAGCATATTTTCAAACATGGAGAATAAAGGCAGAGATTTCACTAACCATTTTGGGGAGCCTCAACAACATATCTTTACAACGCAGTACACATGTAGATGCTCTTGGAAAATCCCCTTGAGCAATTGCCTGGGAAAATGAAAAAATGTCAATAATTGGTTAAAATTAAATAACAAGTCTTTGAGTCACTTTTAACATGTTTTTAACTGGTATTGGGAAGTCTTAATTCATTTTCTAATCCTTTCAGCAACACTAGTTGAGTTAAACGAAATACCAGCTCAAAATACAGAGAAATAAGTGTTAAGGTTTGGATAAAATAAAGTTCAATGGCGGCGTGAAAGGTGAGATGGAGAACTCTTCCAAAAACCATAAATAGTATGAAAATATAGTTAATTAATACAACTAACCCTAAAACAGCAACAAGAAAGAAGGCTGAACCAGACGGCATACAGACCTCACAAACAGAGCAGACTTCAGTAAACAGGGTAATCTATGAGAGCCTTAATCCAGCAGGATCCAAGACCTTCCCCCACCCCAGCTCACCAGCAAGAGGAAGAGAAACGAAGCAGGGAGGGGGTGGAAGCTTGGGACTGCTGAACACCTAGCCTTGGGGATCTGCTTTATGAGCAGAAACCTATATTGTGTGGTGCTATGGATGTTGGGGAGTTTGGACAGGTGGAGTGCTTGAGAGACTGAGATTCCAGCCGTTTGTGGAGAACAGGATCCACATCCGACTGCTCTATGTCAGAGGAAAGGCAGGCAGTCTGAGAGGCTTCCTAGCAGAGAGAGGGCTGCTGAAGGGGTGGGGTTTGCATGGAGCTTGATGTATGGGAGAAAGGAGAGCTGGACAAGGTTGTTTGGGAGTGCTGTGCCCAGCTGGTTGGGAACTTTGAGGAGCTTCAGGTGCTCCATCCCCCTGGCTGGCTGCCCAGCTCCAAGGCCCCCCACTGTAATATGCAGCCTGCTGCACCTCCCTCCTAGCCTGCCGGCACTGGTTAGCAAACTGGCAGTCACTGTGTTGGAATCAGGCCAGCCAGAGGGAGGTCCTGCATACAACAGCTAGAGACACAAAGCATAGAGGCTTACACCTGTGTGCTTTGCCCACTGGATCTAACACTGGAGACAGGCACTGCAGACAGAATCAGGAAATGGATCTTTCCTCCCCTCAGGCACCAGGTCCGCTCCCCTACAACCCCCAACCTCACTCTAGAGGCTCAGCACCTTCAGAGACTAGAGCTTCTGGGAACTAGTTGGCACCTAAATGTCAAAAGAACATGTTTCAGACCAAAATCTCACAAACCCCAGAAAAAAGGCCAAATGAAACTGAACTCACCAATCCTCCTGATAGAGAGTTCAAAATAAAAAATCATAAAATTGATCATGGAGGTACAGAAAAATATTCAAAAACTCAGGAACGAATTTCAGGAGATTCAATCATTAAGAAATTCCACATCTGACATGAAACATACAATGGAGGGATTTAAAAGCAGATTAGATGTAGTAGAAGAGATGGCAAATGGAATAGAAATTACAGAAGAGGAATACAAAGAAGCTGAGGCACAGAGAGAAAAAAGAATCTCTAAGAATGAAAGAATATTGAGAGAACTGTGTGACCAATCCAAAAGAAACAATATTTGCATTATAGGGGTACCAGAAGAAGAAGACAGAGGAAAAAGGGATAGAAAGTGTCATTGAGGAGGTAATTGGTGAAAACTTCCCCAATCTGGGGAAGGAGATAATCTCTCAAAAATGGAGGTACACAGATCTCCCACCACAAGGGACCCAAGGAAGACAATATCAAGACATATAATAATTAAAATGGCAAAGATTAGGAATGAAGACAAACTTTTAAAAGCAGCTAGAGAGAGAAAAAAGATCACATACAAAGGAAAAACCCATCAGGCAATCATCAGACTTCTTAATAGAAACCTTACAGGCCCGAAGGGAGTGGCATAATATATTTAATGCAATGAAGCAGAAGGACCTTGAACCAAGAACACTCCACCCAGCAAGGTTATCATTTAAATTTGAAGGAGGGATTAAACAATTTCCACATAAGCAAAAGCTGAGAGAATTTACCTCCCATAAACCAACTTTACAGTGCATTTTGGAGGGACTCTTATAGATGGAAGCATTTCTAAGGCTAGATGTCACCCAAGGGATAGACAGAGTATAGAACATGATACCTAATATATAAAGAATGGAGGACAAAGAAAAAGGGGGAGAAAAAAAAGAACCTTAAGGTTGTGTTTGTAATAGCACATGAAGAGAGTTAAATTAGACTGTTAGATAGTAAGGGAATTACCCTTGAACCTTTGGTAACCACAAATCTAAAGCCAGCAATGGCAATAAGTACATACCTATCGATAATCACCCTAAATGTAAATGGTCTGAATGCACCAATCAAAAAACATAGAGTTCCTGTATGGATAAAGAAAAAAGACCAATCTATATGCTCCCTACAAGAGACTCACTTGAAACCCAAAGACATACACAGACTGAAAGTAAAGGGATGGAAAATGATATTTCATACAACTAATAGGGAGAAAAAAGCAGGAGTTGCAGTACTTATATCAGACAAAATAGACTTCAAAACAAAGAAAGTAACAAGAGACAAGGAAGGACATTACATAATGATAAAAGGGTCAGTCCAACAAGAGGATATAACTATTATGAATATCTATGCACCCAACACAGGATCACCTATGTATGTGAAACAAATACTAACAGTATTAAAGGGGGAAATAAGATGCAATGCATTCATTTTAGGAGACTTCAACACACCACTCAGTCCAAAGGACAGAACAACCAGATAGAAAATAAGTAAAGAGACAGAAGCAAAGAACATATTAGAACAGATGGACCTAATGGACATCTACAGAACACTCCATCCAAAAGCAACAGGATACACATTCTTCGCACATGCACATGGAATATTTTCAAGAATAGACCATATACTAGGCCACAAAAAGAGCCTTGGTAAATTAAAAAAGATTGAAATTGTACCAACAGGTTTCTCAGACCACAAAGGTATGAAACTGCAAATAAATTATGCAAAGAAAATGAAAAATCCCACAAACACATGGAGGCTTCACAACATGCTGCTAAATAACCAATGGATCAATGACCAAACAAAAACAGAGATCAAGCAATACATGGAGACAAATGACAAGAATAATTCAACACCATAAAATCTGTGGGATGCAGAGAAGGCTGTGCTAAGAGGGAAATATATTGCAATACACGCCTACCTCAGGAAAGAACAATTGCAGATGAACAGTCTAAACTAACAATTAATGCAACTAGAAAAGGAAGAACAAATGAGGCCAAAAGTCAAAAGAAGTAGGGACATAATAAAGATTAGAGCAGAAATAAATAAAATTGAGAAGAATAAAACAATAGAAAGAATCAATGAAAGCAGGAGCTGGTTCTTTGAGAAAATAAACAAAATAGGTAACCCCCTAGCCAGACTTATCAAGAAAAAAAGAGAGTTGACACACATAAACAATCAGAACTGAGAAAGGAGAAATCACTACAGACACCTCAGAAATACAAAGAATTATGAGAAAATACTATGAAAAATTATATGGTAACAAACTGGATAACCTAGAAGAAATGGACAACTTTCTAGAAAAATATAACTTGCAAGGCTGACCCAGGAAGAAACCTAAATATGAATAGACCAATTACCAGCAAAGAAATTGAACTGGTAATCAAAAAACTACCTAAGAACAAAATTCCTGGACCAGATGGTTTCAATTCTGAATTTTATCAAACATTTAGTGAAGACTTAATACCCATCCTCCTTAAAGGATTCCAAAAGGGAGAAGAGGAGGGAATACTCCCAAACTCATTCTATGGACCAACATCACTGTAATACCAAAACCAGGCAAAGATACCACAAAAAAAAAAATTACAGACCAATAACCCTGATGAACATAGACGTAAAAATACTCAACAAAACATTAGCAAAATGAATTCAAAAATACATCAAGAGGATCATACACCATGATCAAGTGGGATTCATCCCAGGGATGCAAAGATGGTACAACATTCGAAAATCCATCAACATCATCCACAACATCAACAAAAAGAAGGACAAAAACCACATGATCATCTCCATAGATGCTGAAGAAGCATTCAACAAAATTCAAAATCCATTCATGATAAAAAGTCTCAACAAAATGGGTAGAGAGGGCAAGTACCTCAACATAATAAAGGCCATATATGACAAACCCACAGCCAACATTATACTTAACAGTGAGAAGCTGAGAGCTTTTCCTTTAAGATCGGGAAAAAGACAAGCATGCCCACTCTCCCCACTTCTATTCAACATAGTTCTGGAGGTCCTAGCTATGGCAGACTACACAAAGAGACAAAAAGCATCCAGATATGCAAAGAAGTTAAACTGTCTCTGTTTGCAGATGACATGATATTATACATAAAAAACCCTAAAGAATCCACTCCAAAACTACTAGATCTAATATCTGAACACAGCAAAGTTGCAGGGTACAAATTAATACACAGAAATCTCTTGCATTCCTATACACTAACAATGAACTAGCAGAAAGAGAAAGCAAGAAAACAATTCCATTCACAATTACATCAAAAAGAATAAAATACCTAGGAATAAACTCAACCAAGGAAGTGAAAAACCTACACTCTGAAAACTACAAGACAATCATAAGAGAAATTAAAGAAGATACCAATAAATGGAAACACATCCCATGCTCATGGATAGGAAGAATTAATATCGTCAAAATGGCCATCCTGCCTAAAGCAATCTACAGATTCAATGCAATTCCTATCAAAATACCAACAGCATACTTTAATGAAATACAGAAAATCATTCTAAATTCATATGGAACCACAAAAGACCCCAAATAGCCATAGCAATCCTGAGAAGGAAGAATAAAGCTAGGGATTATGCTCCCCAACTTCAAGCTCTACTACAAAGCCACAGTAATCAAGACAATTTTGTACTGGCACAAGAACAGACCCACAGACCAGTGGAACAGAATAGAAAGTCTACATATTAACCCAACCATATATGGTCAATTAATATACAATAAAAGAGACATGGACATACAATGGGGAAATGACAGTGTCTTCAACAACTGGTGTTGGCA